AAGGGCATTATTTATAAGTGTAAATCATTGTTATTAAAAGTAATTAACAAAACTTAAGGGGACCAAAATCAAATTAATGAAACAACCATGTAAAAGATTTGAAGATACATGGCCCAACCATGAAAGCTGATAAGTAGGCCACATATTCCTATTAAGCTGTTCCATCTTCCTGCATTAATGTACAATGAATTTGGAATTTGATGTGGATACCAAGAGGAACAACAGATATTATAGACCTTGAGATATTTTTATCCAAGCGATGCTGTTGCTGTTCCTGTGCTACCAAGGTAGATATAGCTTCTTAAATTAAAAGCAATGAATGCTCAGCAATGTCAGCTCAAAATTGAAGTCTACAACACAATGATCAAATCCTCTGAGCATGAATCTAATGGTACCACACAGACACTTCACAGCTTACTTTATTTTGACTGAAAGATGAGAGTACGAAGGCCAAGCATGAGATCCCAAATTGTTGCTGTCAAGGTTACGGAGTGAACTGCATCTTAGACTCCTTTTAAGTCCCTCTTGTGTGCACCCCTGCAAGAGACAGGCCTGGCTTACTGAACTTCACTCTGGGAGGAACCATGCAGTCCAACCACTCTCAGACTGGATCTCTGGGTCGCAGTCCTCCTTGTTTCTCTACTGTGTGAACATGTCAAGTCCAACTGCATTTGGCAGTTGTAAACCTTTCACTCCGGGGGACCTGTGATCAGCAAGCTGATTAAAGTAACTCAGAAGGAGCAACTTCAAAACCATTCATCCCTCCAGAGGTACAAAATACACAGAGCAAGGGGTAAAGAACAATAAAATCTTTCACTGCAAGCTTTTATTAGTTCCCCTCAGCTGAGCTAACCCCGCCATCTGGCTGGGAGAAACAGAGAGCATGCTGCAAGCAGGACAGTCTAGTTTGTCTCTGATCCCTGGCCAGCTTTGCAGCTTCCACAGACATTCTCTGTGCAGCCTCTGGCCACTCACTCAACCCTCACCCTTTTCTAGACTGGGGTAGGGTGGGGGAGCAGTCCTCTGATGTCTTATTGTTCCCTTCTCTTCTCAGCATTGGCAAAACAGCTGTGTTATCAGGACTGAGGCCAGAAGTCACCTCTTCACTGCTATAAACCTGGCGTTTGTGTGTTTGTTGGGATGCTTCTTTTTTGGGCATTGTTTTACCTTTCCTACTTGATTTTCCTCTAACAACCCATTTTGATCTAACTCCATAGAAAGAAATCCATCATAAGCAAAATCATCATATTTATTAAAAATACAGATATTTCCTACTTTGTCACAGTTGCCAAAAGACTTACTAAGGCATTTTTCATTTTAAAGAGCATTGTCAACTTGAAATATCACATTTCTGGATAATTCTTTTTAGCCAACTATATTTACAAGTAATCCCCTACAATTATCATAACGAAAAGAAGACAGAGAAAAATATTTGAACCTCAGTATATTACTATGTGCATGTGACAGCACACTAGGAATAGTCAGTTTCATTATTTCATTGAGAGTCATTTTCACTTCCTGACTCCTGCACTAGCATGATCACTATGGTACACTGGTCAGGGGGGCTCACATGCATGCTCCTTCCCAGAGGCAGCAAGAGAGCTACTGTTGATTTTAAATGTGGGGACAAGAGGAGCAGAGAAGTAACAGGTTCTGTGATCCGGGTGCTGTTAGATGGGCTCCCCCACTTAAGTCCCTAGATGGCCTTTGCATGCTGTTAGGAGATAATGTCAGCATGGGGTAGCAAAGGGCCCCTTCTGCTAGCACAGGAACTGGGGTAATGGAAACAGGAAGGGTGTGATCAGATATTCTCTCTCTGGAACACTTTCCAGTTCCCAGGGACCAGTGGGCAGCAGGCTCAAGGTGAGGAAGAAGGAAAGAGATGTCTTCACTCCCTTGTGAGGACTTCCTTCTCCCGACCTGCACCCTCCCAGGCCTTCTCCAGAGCTGCACACACTCGTGGAGGAGTACATGCTGACATGCTGCACTACTAGAAAATGAAAGGTTTCAGAGGAACAGCCGTGTTAGTCTGTATTCGCAAAAAGAAAAGGAGTACTTGTGGCACCTTAGAGACTAACCAATTTATTTGAGCATGAGCTTTCGTGAGCTACAGCTCACTTCATCGGATGCATACATGGAAACTGCAGAAGACATTATATACACACAGAGACCATGAAACAATACCTCCTCCTGCCCCACTGTCCTGTGTGTATATAATGTCTTCTGCAGTTTCCACGGTATGCATCTGATGAAGTGAGCTGTAGCTCACGAAAGCTCATGCTCAAATAAATTGGTTAGTCTCTAAGGTGCCACAAGTACTCCTTTTCTTTAGAAAATGAAAATGTCTGAAACGAGTCAATTTCTAAAAATTCGAATTGAGGGTGTCCTAATAAGAATATTTTGGACCCTGGTCTTACACCGCACTGTGAAGCACAGAGGGGAAGAAGAGAAAGTATGAGCAACAGAGGCAGGGCGATTAGCCACACGTTCTGTGTTTTCCCAGGCATACGGGCAAAAGGGTGTGAGTGGTGTGTGGAGGGGAGTCAATGGTGGGCTGATTTACAGTCCAGTCCTGCCCCCACTTCACCCAAATGGAGTGAAGGACAAAGAGTTATTCCTGGTCTGTACCAAGATTAATCAAAGAGCCTCACTTCAAGCACTTGCTAGTGCATAAGGTTTTGAGCTAGCTTCCCCTTTCGCACCTGAGCAGCAGGCCCTGATTTCTGTAAGTGCAGGGTTGGGACTTTTCCCTTCACTGGAGACAGTTGAATACCATCCTGTTCTGTCCCTTTCTTTGCCAGTTATATCAGTCATGTTTCCCAGCATTCATTGCATCTACAGATTACAGAATAACTCCTGCATCCTGTGCAAATTCTCCCTTTTAACAGTTTACAGACAACTTGACAGTATCCATCCTTCAATTCAATGATTGGCATTAGACCCCTCTGGCTTCTCCTGGACTCAAGATCTTTTATTGTTTTATACTTTACGCTGAATAAGGTCTCCAAAGGCTCAGAGGTTTTTTTTTATGTTTTAAGAATACCTACTTCTTAGGTTGGGTTTTTCAAGCTTTCTCCGCTCTAATTAATAGATCAGAAATAAACACACAGATCTGTGAAAGTCGTTTGCAGGGTCACAGACAATGATGAAAATAAATCATCAACTAGTGACTTGCTATGCATAACAGCCACAACAAATTAAAAACGTGACCTAACACATCGGTAGCAAAGTAGAAAATGGAAGAACTGCACTGAGGTTAAGTCTCAATTTTATAATTTTCTAAAGATGGCTTCATGGCCAATTAAACGCTACTTCTCTCCCTCCTTAGTAAACAGACAGAAACATTCAGATAATTGGCCTAATGTGATGAGAAGCTGAGTGCTGCCAGTAAAGTGCCAAGTGCTCTCAACTCCTTTTTAATTCAAAGAGAATTAAAAGCACTCAGAACCCACAAAGCTCAAGCATCTCCATTTGCCACATTTCTGCCTGACATAGGAGTTTATAATTTATCATGGGTGAAGTTTGACAGAGGAAGGCATACAAATAATTATAATCCCTTTCACGCATTTAATTTTGTTGATTGACTATTTTCAGTAATTAAATCTATGATATTTTTGATAGCCCAGTTCTACTGTACAAACCAGAATACACGGCATAAGCTCAACCAATGTTGACATTGGAATGAAATGCTATAATGACATTCATTCTGCGGGATTTCTATTACTAGAATGTATATAATCCCACACTTAAATGTAGAACAAAGTACTCTTTAGCCAATCTAAATCAGCATAGCTCCACTGAAGTCATGTAGTCTGATTTACACCAGCTCAGGATCTGGCCGCAACACTACATATGTGCAGACCCTAAGCCAGCAACCATTTTGGAACAAATCCTGCCCTCGCCACACATTCAAGTGTATAAGAACCCATGGGCAATGTGCAAAGCAAGCAGGATACAGGAAGTCTGTGCCTTATAATGCTCTGTCTGTGACAATGAGATGTGCGAGAAAAGGAGCAGTGTGTGGTGTGGCTAGTGGATGCACAGTTATGCATAACCACCTGATAAACTCCCTGTGAAGGGAAGTAGATAAAGGATTTGGTTCTTTAAGAGATTACTACTATTTTAAGGCTCTGCAGTCAGGGGAAATAATTTCATTCTTTTCAGACCACTTTTGCACCACGTCTTATTTGTTGAGAATTTGGTCCTTTGTAAACATTTCTCAATGCAAATTAAAGTTGCAGTTGTACATAAAATGAAATTGGCAAACTTTTAAGATATACTTGACTATATCAGATAAAGCCCAACTGATATCTGGTAATTCAGCATAATTTTTCTTGTAAACATTACACAGTAACCTCAGAGTTATGAAACCAGAATTACGAACTGACCGGTCAACCGCACACCTCATTTGGAACCGAAAGCATGCAATCAGGCAGCAGCAGGGATAATTAAAAAAAAAAAAGCAAATACAGTACAGTACTGTGTTGAATATAAACTACTAAAATATAAAGGGAAAGTTTAAAAAAATTTGAAAAGGTAAGGAAACTGTTTCTGTGCTTGGTTCATTTAAATTAAGATAGTTAAAAGCGGTATTTTTCTTCTGCATAGTAAAATTTCAAGGCTGTATTAATTCAGTGTTCAGTTGTAAACTTTGGAAAGAACATCCATAACATTTTGTTCAGAGTTATCTCCATTCCCGACGTGTTCGTAACTCTGAGGTTTTACTGTATTGTAAGTCACTAATCCTGCAATCTTAGTTACTTTATGAGTCAGAAAGAGTTTTCTCAGGTCACTGAGTGTTACTCAATGTATGTTTGGTTAGGAGATACCTCTGGTGCAACATTACATATTCCACAGCAGTTTCCTGTACTCTGTCAAACCAATAAATATTCATTTCCTAATTCTGTCTGTACCTATGACCACCAGAGTCTCAAGACTTACATTTCAAGAAAACAACAAACAAATGAGGAAGGAAGAAAAAAAAAGATGTCTCTAAATACCGTGACTGTTGCATCGTGCTGTTTCCACAAGCCGACTGTTTTGATCATAGCATGCCATGGCTTGGTAACGATAGCCTTGCCCACATTCCTTGATATCTCCTTGTACTTTCATTCCGAGTAATACTTCCACTTTGCCCTCTGGTAAAATGCAGTCTGACCAGTTCCCCACAGGTTGAGCATTGTACTTGTCACAAGGACAAAACTGAGTCTCGATCAGAGGATACAACTGGGAATTTTTGCATTTGTCTCGCTTCTTACTTTTTCCTGGAGGGAGAAAATAATTGTTCAGAAAGTTATTTCTGTCGCTATACACACAAGCAGGTAATTTTATTTAATGATCTATAACTGTGCAAAAATTCTCCAAGGAGCACAAAACTTAAGGCCAAAATGTTCAGATCCGGAGGTGCCTAAAGTTAGGCACCCAAATTCATACTTTATCACTTAAGAAAGTGGCCTGATTTTCAAAGGTGCTATGCATCTACAGTTCTTGCTGTTTTCATCATCTTTGAAAATGAAGCCAACTATTTAAATTTATAATTTTAAAATACTTAGCTTGAAATATCTGAGTTTGAACATTTTTGCCACTAAAAATAGGCTGCCCCCCCGCTCACCCCAATCCATCAGTGTTGTGCAATTTAATAGTTATTATGTCATACTCATTCCATGGATAATGTGCAAGGTGGTTTTTCTGAGTTTTTTAAAAATTCTTTTGGCATCAAGGGAGAAAAAGCCACTGTCTGCTTCTGTTACACTATTTCAAATTATCAAAATCCTCAAATTTTATCATGTTATTGCACCATTAGTTAAGAATCACTCTTCTTGCCCCCTGATGGAATAAGCTCCTTCTTTTGATTAATTCCAGAACATTGCTGCATTTTTTCAAATCTCTTCTAGCAACTCCTTTAATCTCCCCAACTATTTAGCCACCCATTTTCTCCTATTTGCATTTTTTAAATCTTCTCTGTAAAGTTTGTTTTTGTTTAATTTCTTGTTATTTGCTCTCATATCTCATTTGATTGCCCCATTTTTAGAAACTAAAGAGCCCTGGCAAAATCATTTCGTAACGTAATTATCTGTCAGTTAGATGATAATATAAATGAATGCGCTGCACTATTTTCCTTGTCTTTCAAACATGTTACTTACAGAAAATGAAACACTAAAAGCACTAGGCAGGACATTATAGCACTTTTAGTAATTACACTAAATACTGTTTTAGTGTAGAACAGGGACAATGTACTGTAGTAAGGGGATTTCTCATTCGGCAGCTTCATACTGAAAATGTGAGAGTTAATCCCTCTTTCTTCTCATCTTTTCCCCAAGAATAATTAGGCCCTTTGTTCTCAGCTCTTCAGATTGGATTGGATAAGTTGCAGTATAGAATTGATTCACCAAGGCCAAACCATCCCCTCAGCACCAAGTCTGAGTAGCTAAACTTGGCATAGGGAGATCCACAGGGACCTGTCAGTGCCAAGGCTGGTTGCCAGTTCTGTTTTTCTTGTTTCTGGCTTTAAGGTAAATTTCTAGCCATTTTCTTTGTGGAAGTAACACTAATGTAAATTGTTCACCAGAATTATAAGAAGGTCCCTGCCAGTCTTCCTGAAGATTGAGAGTTATTCACAGTCTCTCCTATAGCCACCCACGCGTGGCTTTTTGGGACCCATGGCTGTAGGCCTTCTGATTTTGGATTGTTCCTATCACAACAGGGGGTGCTGGTGCCTAGGTTGCTATTGAGCACCCTCACTTCTGGCTTAGTGATTTCCAGCTTAGCTAGCTCCACCATGGGGTAGAGAATGTGGTTTCCAGCCACAAAAGGGGAATACTTGAGAACATAAGAGAAAGCTTGATGTAATGGATTAAACACATGACTGTGTGTATTAAGACTCAAGCATTGACTCCATCCAGGGAGTGTTGTGGATAAATAAATCAGTCATTTAACCTTTTCTCTTTAGTTTCCCCACCTGACAATGAATAGAGTACTCCTTACCTACCTAACTGGGCTGTTATGATGGCTGATCAGTTAATGTTTGTGCAAATTTTTAGCCACAATGAAATTTCAACAAAAAGCAGGAAAAAGTGTTTGTAAAAATGTTCATGAAAAACATTTTGTAACCATCTGCAATAACCAGAAAAACCTCAAAATTTTGCTGGGCTCACAAATTTTGCTGGACTCTGATTTACCTTATATCAGAGGGGTAGCCGTGTTAGCCTGAACCGACAAAAACAGTGAGGAGTTTGGTGGCACCTTAAAGACTAACAGATTTATTTGTGCTTAAGCTTTTGTGGGTAAAAAACCCACTTCTTCAGATGCCTGGAAACTCCATGCATCTGAAGAAGTGGGTTTTTTACCCATGAAAGCTTATGCCCAAATAAATCCGTTAGTCTTTAAGGTGCCACCGAATTCCTTGTTGTTTTTGTGATTTACCTTATGTTTGTTCTGTGCATAGCACACTGGGGCATCGACTCCCATGGCAACCTTCGGACACTAATGCAGTGAAAATAGTAAACAATAATGACAGCAGATCTGTGACAATTGAGACATTTGGAGACAGGCTCTAGAATTACCTTTTGGAAAATGGTCAATAATTCAATGATTATGCCCATTTTGACTAGAGGGGTTGATTTAGGGCAGGGGTGGGCAAACTACGGCCCGCTGGCCAGATCCGGCCCCTCGGGGTTTTGGATCCGGCCCGCGGGATTGCCACCGCCACAGGTTCTGCGCCACTCTGGGAAGCAGCCACACCACGTCCCTGCAGCCCCTGGGGGAGGGGGGCAGAGAGCTCTGCATGCAGTTCTTGCCCGTGGGTACCTCCCCCAAAGCTCCCATTGGCCAGGAATGGGGTACCCAGCCAATGGGAACTTCGGGGGAGGTACCCACAGGCGAGGGAAACACGTGGAGACCTCTACGCCCCCCCCCATCCCCACGGGCCGCAGGGACGTGATGCCGGCCGCTTCCTGGAGCGGTGCGGTGCGGCGCAGGGCTGTGGCCGGTCGGGAGCCAACCCTGGCTCCAGTATGCGCCGCTGCCACCCCGGATCCACTCTAGGTAAGCGGTGCCAGGCCGGAGCCTGAACCCCTCCTGCACCCTGCCCCCAACTCACTGCCCTAAGCACCTCTCCTGCACCCCAACTCCCCGCCCTGAGCCCCCTGCTGCACCCTGCACCCCTCCTGCACCTCAACTCCCTGTCCTGAACCCCCTGCCACACACCGCACCTCTCCTGCACCCCAACTCCCTGCCCTGAGCCCCCTGCTGCATCCCGCACCCCTCCTATACCTCAGCCTCCTCCTGCACTCCACACCCCCCCGCACCCTAACCCTCTTCCCTGAGCCCCCTCATACACCCCGCACCCCTCCTCTGCCCCAACCCCTTGCCCTGAACCCCTTCCTGCACACTGCACCCCCTCCCACACCCTGCACTCTACCCCTGCACCCCAACCCCCTGCCCCGGCCCTGCAAGCAATTTCCCCACCCAGATGTGGCCCTTGGGTCAAAAAGTTTGCCCACCCCTGATTTAGGGGCTGAACAAAAGTTCATGGAAGGACTGCCATTGACTTCCATGCGCCTGGACCACATTGCTTTAAATATTTCAACTCTGTGGAATCACAGGTAGTGTTGACTCAGCCCTTCAGAATGATAAATGGTCTGCTATGCAGTTTATTGTGTACCAGTCTTATAGAAGAGACCATGACTTCATCTGTAATCCCATGTTAGTTTTCTTATGATCCTAGAGTTTGCTGTAGTGTCCTTTACTGATATTGCCCCCCTGAGACCCTGCAGTATTGTGTAGTGCATGCCAATTATCTGCTTGGTTGTTGCCCTGGACCCCAGAGCTGCCTGCTTGTCAATGATGTATGCATTTGGGTATCCTTCAGACTGATGGGCACTGTATAAGTTTAAAATAAATAGCAGCTAATAATAAACAATGTTTCAGTAACCCGTTGACTCTTACCAACAAGAGAGCGCTTTCTCGTCCTGACTGCTCCACAGTCCCCATTGCAGGAAGAAAACTTTGACCAGATTGTGAACTGACAGTCATCTTGGCAAGGAATTTGGCAGGCCTGTGTTAATGTTGGTAAAGGGCCTGCATATTTAAGGCACTCACTGATGTCAGCGGGTCCTCCATCTTGTCTGCGACAAGTAATTGCTGGAAACAAATAAGTTTGGAGTTTATAAAGAGCTGTCAGGCTTATATCTAGTCTATAACAGTGGTTCTCAACCAGGGTACATGTACCCCTAGGGGTATGCAGAGGTGTTCCAGGGGGTACATCAACTCATCTAGATATTTGCCTAGTTTTACAGCAGGTATATAAAAAGCACTTGTGAAGTGAGAATAAACTAAAATTTCATACGACTTGTTTATACTGCTCTATCTACTATACACTGAAATGTAAGTACAATATTTATATTCTAATTGATTTACTTCATAATTATATGGTAAAAGTGAGAACTTAAGCAATTTTTCAATAATAGCGTACTGTGACACTTTTGTGTTTTTATATCTGATTTTGTAAAGCGAGTAATTTTTAAGTGAGATGAAACTTGAGGGTACGCAAGAGAATCTGACTCCTGAAAGGGGTACAGTAGTTTGGAAAGATTGAGAGCCACTGATCTATAATGTAGCAATTAGCCAGGAATGCCCACATTTCATACAGTAGGTCAGAAAAATTCTGCTACTAAATCATAGATAAAACCCAGAACAGCTATGTGTAACACAACGGCCTAATATTTACAGATGTTTATACATTACAGCTAAATGTGTAGATCTGAAATTTCTGGGATACTTTAGTCTATTTAAATTATTTCTTTATTGATGTTTACCGACAATACAATATTAAAAGGTAACCTCCACTGTGATATAATATTACAGCAGTAAATCCTGTTAGGAATTGCCACCCCTCATAGATTTTCACATAATCAAGTTATGTTAGACATTTCCTTTTGAGATGGACCCAAACTTAGATACCACAGTATGAGTGCAATATAAGAACATGAACAGAATTCACGTATTCCAAGACCAGAAGACACCACTGTGATCATCTAGTCTGACCTTCTGCATAACACAGAGTAACAGAACTTCCCCAAAATAATTGCTAGAGCAGAGCTTTTAGAAAAACATCCAATATTGATTTAAAAATGGTCAGGATGGAGAATGCACCATGACCCTTTGTAAGTTGTTCCAATGGTTAATTACTCCTCCTGTTAAAAATCAACATCCCATCCTTCTTGAATTATGAGCACAGAACAGTACACAGTACTCCAGCAGCATTTGCATCAGTGCCAAATATAGAGGTAAAATAACCTCTCTGACTCCTACTCGAAATTCCACTGTTTATGCATCTCAGGATTGCATTCACAATTTTGGCTACAATGCCAAACTGGGAGCTTATGTTCAGCTGATTATCCACCATGACCCTCAAATCTTTTTCTGAGTCACTGCTTCCCAGGATAGAGTTCTCCATTTTGTAAGTACGGCCTACATTTGTTGTTCCTGAACACATTTACATTCAGCAATGTCAAAATACATGTTTGCTTGTGCCCAGTTTACGAAGCAATCCAGATCACTCGGTATCTATGACCTGTCCTCTTCATTATTTACCACTCCCGCAATTTTTGTGTTGTCTGCAAACTTTATCAGTGATGATTTTATGTTTTCTTCAAGGTCGTTGATAAAAAAAGCATAGGGCCAAGAATCAATCCCTATGGGCATGGATGGCCAGTAACCCGACTGTTGGGGGAGGCTAACCCCTGGCCACTCCCCTTGTTTCCAAGGCCCTGCTCCTCTCCATCTGCCCCCCTTCACCCCTCCCTCCCTCACAGGAGCCCAGACCACACACACCCCTGCGGCCCCCGGCCCCAGCGCCAGGCGGCCAGGGGTGAGACCCCAGCCCCAGTGCTCCAGGAGATGCGGCCAGCTCTGATGCGCTGGGCAACAGTGCTCCCAGCCCTGGGGCTCCTGGCAGCCAGGTGGGGTGGCCAGTCCCAGTGCTCCAGGGGCACAGCCCCAGCACCAGCTGCCCTGACTCCCTGCGGGAGGCAGGCCAGCCAGCCCCAGCCAGCCTGGGCCAACCAACCATGGCATAGCGCTCTGGGAACCACAGGAGGGTGCCTGGCCTGGGGGTGGCATGTGGGCGGGGCCCCGCTAGGCTGTTTGGGAAGGCACAGCCTATCCCTGCCTATGAATCCTGCCACCCATGCCTATGGGCATAGGTGCTGGAACTAAGGGTGCTGCCACACTCTTTGGCTTGAAATAGTTTCCATTATATACAGGGTTTACAGTTTGGTTCAATGGCCCCCTATATAAAAATTGTTCCAGCACCTCTGCCTGTGGGGTCACATTGGGGGACCCCTGTAGGATCCCACCCATTGAAAACTGCGAAGTTTGAATATGGGTTTCAATACAACACATTACTGAGAAGAATAAACACAAAGTAAGGATCCAGCTCTGTGTTCCGATTCTGAGAGCTGCAAAGTTTGGAGCGATTAGAATGAGTCATTGACTTCTCAGACAGGTATTGTAACATCATTGCCTGACAACTTACGACAACCTTGAACAATGGCTGGGCTAAAACACATTAGCTGTGTGATGAGAGTGAGATGGGTGTACAAACATTTTACAGCAGGGTAACAGTATGTTGGAACTAACATTTTGTACTTATAAAATCTGTATTGTTTTGATTAATTACATGGGGGGAGGGGGGAAATGGAAATTTCAGATGTCCCAAAAAGAAGTTCCTGGGACACCAGGACATGATATTGAAAACCAGGTCTATCCCATGAACACCAGTATATATGGCAACTTTATATATAATCTCCCCACTGCACCTCCTTTTCAGAATTACTGAATGCCACTTCTTTATCACTACCTTTTCCACCTGAATTTAAACAGTTATATCACATGCAAACATCCTCCATACCCCATTTACTATTATTTGTTGATAGAATTATAGCGTTAGTCTAAATACAGTACCATAATAAAATACATTTTACTTCCTTTTATCCCAAGATAATTCCAGTATTATTACAAGTTAATTCTATTGAAAACTTGTAGTTGTGTTGTTTTCAATGGGAACAATGGCACGTTAATGTTTCTTGGTTTGTGACAGCACACAGTATGGCACAATAACTCACAACTGCAAAAGTAATTTGGGTTACCAATTGATAGTAGTAACATAGCATATAAACAGAATACAGTCCACTAAAAACGTGAAAAAATAACAAAGCTTTATATTACATTTTAATGAATAATTCAGCAGCAGTGTTTTTATGCTACTGACAACAATGGTTTTACTGGACTGTGAACTGAGAAAAACCTCAATTATGCTGCACAAAGTATGGCATAATTATGTTCAGCTGCTGATGGGGAACCATAAATAGGTTTAGGTGCAACGTTTCTAAAGCAGTAAAAATATCTACGAAAAACTAGCTCCTTCAAGAAGAAAAGGAAGGAATAAACATTTGGAAAATAAACCATTCGGTCTTGCCTTATATATCTTTAGATTCTTAAAAAACAAAAACAACAACAACAAGAAATCACAGTACTGCTTTGGTACGACGGCTTACAAAAGAAACAATACATTATATTTAAAATGCCCTTAACTATAAAACTAGAAATTTGTATCTCTATAAATGATGTGTATTTTGTTTTTAATTTGAATTTAGTGTGGTGGTGTTTTATTTTTCCTGAGACATTACAATAAAATTGAAGTTTCTGACTGATAATTCAGTATTACCTTAAAATATTATTAGAGGGCCCTAAACGAAAAAAAAAACGGGGTTGAATCTTAAGCTGCACTTAGCTTCTGCATGGTGCTGCTTCAGGGGGAACAGAGGAGAATAATAATGAAAAGCTGCTGTAAGCAACCTTTACAATTCCCCTTGATCCTTGGCTCAACTGGGGGATTGAAACAACCACTCTTGACATAAACAGACTCAGTACTGCTCTGAGCTGTGCTGACTAGTCATCTGCTGACTTTTATGCTATCCAAGGATTACCCTCTGCTTCTTCAGGCATTAGCTTGCTCATTTTTGATGCACTTAGTTGTCTCTCTCACACACACCATTTTCCTCTTTGAATGAAACAGTGTGAAGTTGATGAGGTTTTGTTTCTTGTCAGATTTGGGTTATGAATTTGAGCTATCGGGCTAGTTCCTGAATTTGCTTACTATTCCAATGCTGTTTATTTAGCCATTTTCACCTAACCCTCCCACCAATGCTTATCTCTTCCTTGGTCCTTTGGTGTCTCCCCAGGCATTTGCTCATCACCACCTTTTGTAATATGCCTCACAGGAAGTTAACATTTCTGTCCATGCTTTATTGATCGAGGTGAAAGTTACGAGGGGTTTAGGATTCAGAACCTCTTTCTCCTCCTATGTGTCTCTTTTGAGTTTACAGGGTGCCTTTTCTCCTTGAGGAAAGACTAGGTGAACCTTCACCACACACAAAAGCAGATTTCTTAATCGGAACAAGGTTTGTTAAAAACAGAAAGAAAATGGAGCAAAAACGAAAAGAAACAGGTTGCTTACCAAATCTACATTTACACTTTGCAAACGTTAAACTAGGCAAGACAGTCTCAGTTACAGAAAAGAAACACAAATGCTTATAGAAAAGGAGTACTTGTGGCACCTTAGAGACTAACAAATCTATTTGAGCATAAGCTTTCATGAGCTACAGCTCACTTCATCGGATGCATTCAGTGGAAAATACAGTGGGGAGATTTATGTACATAAAGAACATGAAACAATGAGTGTTACCATACACACTGTAAACAGAGTGATCAGTTAAGGTGAGCTATTGCCAGCAGAAGAGCAGGGGTAGGGAGGGAACCTTTTGTAGTGATAATCAAGGTGGGCCATTTCCAGCAGCTGACAAGAATGTCTGAGGAACAGTGGGGGGTGGGCGGGGGAATAAACATGGGGAAATAGTTTTACTCTGTGTAATGACCCATCCACTCCCAGTCTCTATTCAAGCCTAAGTTAATTGTATCTAGTTTGCAAATTAATTCCAATTCAGCAGTCTCTCGTTGGAGTCTGTTTCTGAAGTTTTTTTGTTGAAGAATTGCAACTTTTAGGTCTGTAATCGAGTGACCAAAGAGATTGAAGTGTTCTCCAACTGGTTTTTGATGGCTTTCAAAAGGCTTAACAATCC